GATCGTAGTTGCTGAATGAGAGGGTCTATGCCGACCAGGTTCGCAGGCGTCTGCGGTAGCGGGTCACCTTGCTGCCAGCCCTTGGCCCAGCTTGTTGGCGTTGGCACCTCTTGACCTAGCTCGAGTGGTGGCTTCCTCTCCGGGAAGAGCACCCATGAGACTCCGGCTGTCGATGATGGCGGCTCAAACCTTACAATGCCTCCTTGCCAACCAAGCTCGGAGTCCTTCACCGGAGGCAGGATCATTCCGTCTGTAAGTGGTCCGTCCAGGAGTCCGTTCTTTTTTCCGTATGTTGTCTTGATCTTCTGTATGGCATTTTCCTGGTCCTGCTTGGACTCACCGCCAAACTTCAACGACGCATTGACCTGTGATGCAATGGTGGAAAAGGGGATGATCTTGACAGACTTGACGACAGGTTCCCTTGATTCTTTCGTACCTTGCGGTTTCATGGCCGGCGGCTTGGGCGTTTGAGCTGGAGCACCTTCGATCCGGACGAGACCGCCCACAAAGTTCTCGAAGCCCAGGACTTTGCAGAGATCGGTTGAAAGCGCCACATGTCGACTATCCGGCGCGTCCTCCCATGCTATGATCTTGGCGACCACGCGCGTTGCGGGCTTCTCCTGCTCCTGCTCTTTGGACATGTCCACGGGCTCCTGTAGCCCGGCGGGCTTGATGATTGACACGGAGACCCAGTTGGCGCCTCTGAGAGCCTTGGTAAGGAGTACGTCCTTGTCTACCCACACCTTCAGGCCCTCGGCGTCTGCGTCCTCTTCCTCGTCGAACCACTCTTGGGCGACACTGCGATCAACTCCACGCAGGAAGATGACGCCTTTGCTCGCGGCATCCTCGCGACCGCTGCGCCGCCGGACTGTGCTTGCCGTGCTCTTTCCGCTCTTCCTCGATGCAGCGCCTACACTTCTGCTTTCGCGCGTCGAGCTCCTTTCCTTCTGCCGTGTCTTGGGCGCAACGATGACCTCGGCGTCGGGCGAGATCTTGACGAAGAGTGAGGTGTTGGGCGGTGCGGGCGCGATGGAGGTGACGGTGATGTTCGCCGTGGTCGTGGGAGACAGGTGGAGCGTGAGAGGATGCGGCGACTGGGCCTGGGGGTTCGGGAGCGCGCGTATCTGAGAGAGAAAGTTCAACTCCAAGAACTGGGCGTGCAGCTCTATCATCTCCCAATCAACAGGGGTCAATGGCTCGATGTTGATGGTATGCGCCTGTGGAGGGTCCAGATGCAGCAGTATGCCCACCTTCTGGCCCTCTTGGAGCCCGATCAGCCTGGCGAAGGTGGCATCCACCTCGACTGCTGGCAGGTCCTGTTGGCTGACTGCCGGGCTGCCTCTCAAACCATCTCGTCCGACGACAGGCGCGATGCGGCGCTTGCTCTGCATGCCCGTCCATCCTACGAAGACCGACTTGGGCGCGGCATTCCTGTTGTCCGACGCACCCGGTGGGGGAGGCTGGCGGTACGTGAGCTCGACGACGACATTCTGGGCGACGGTGTTGGCGTTGACGAGCACGGAGACGAGCGAGGACGGGAGGTTGACCAGGCAATTCTTCAACGACTGCTGCAGGGCAACTTCGGCCTGGACAGCATTGCCGGCGGGCTTCTTGGGCGGCATGGCGGCGAGGGTGGAGGAGTGAATGGCGGTGCTGCTGTCGGTGTCGCATGCCGCCTACCTCGAGCTCTCGACGCGGGCCGAGGTCGAGGTGCAGGGCGGCGGCGGTGCCCCAAAGCGGTGCTAGTCGCCGGGCGTGGGAACGCGGGTCGACGCGCCTCAGAGCTGCAACGCGACCAGCCCCAATTTTGCTACCGCGCATCCCTCCCCGCTGCATCAACCCTCGACGACGACCCCGACACCCACCCCAGACACCATGGCGCTCCTTACCACGAGTGCGCCCGTCAACTACGACGAGCAGGAGGGTGTGTATGCACGCGCAAAACACTGAACCCCCCAGCTAACACCCGCCAGCCGCCTTTGTTGACTTTCTCAAAAACTACAAATCAGCCTCGACCGACGCGGCCGACCAGCTCCAGGGCCTGAACATCAGCGGCAATGGCGACGAGGAGTACGACATGGTGGACGACTCGGACGACCCTGCGCCCAACGGAGCCCAGTCTCGCGCCAAGTCGAAGCTCAAGTACATGGACCAACTCCAAGACGTAGCGAACCGCGTGCGCGACGAGATCCAGATAGACCTCAACGACGTCGAGGCCTACGAGAAGGCGACCTCAGACGACGAGCACAACTACCGGCTGGTCGAGTCCATCGAGCGCAATGCACACCACTACATCGAGATCTTCTCGCGCGCAGTCGACAAGTGCCTGCCCGCACCCACCAGAGAACTAGAGTACGGCCCCGTGACATCCTGCCCAGACAGAGACTAACAGTACCAGCTTCAAGGACGATGTCCTGGACGTGATCATGACGCAGCGCTCGAAGCGCAACGAGAGACAGCAGGAGATGCAGGGAGTCGACGACAACGCACAGGCTGCGCCCGAGACCATGTTTCCTCCTGCCTTGACGAGACGATACACGCTCAACTTCAGGCCCAGGATACCGTCTGGTTCCAGCAGCCAGCGCAGCATGAAGGCGCTGGCTGTCCGCAACGTGCGAGGAGAGCACCTGGGCCATCTCATCACAGTCCGTGGTATTGCAACCAGAGTGTCGGACGTCAAGCCTGCTGTGCAGGTCAACGCCTACTCTTGCGATCGCTGCGGAAGTGAAGTTTTCCAGCCCGTGACCACCAAGCAGTTCACCCCGCTCGTCGAGTGCCCGTCCGACGACTGCAAGAGCAACAAGACCAAGGGCCAGCTCTTCCTTTCTACGCGCGCCTCCAAGTTCCTGCCTTTCCAAGAAGTCAAGATTCAGGAGATGGCGGACCAAGTACCCGTGGGTCATATTCCCCGGCAATTAACCATCCACTGCCACGGCGCGCTTGTCAGGCAGATCAACCCCGGAGATGTCATCGATTGTGCTGGTATCTTCCTCCCCACGCCCTACACTGGATTCAAGGCCATCCGGGCTGGTCTCCTTACCGACACATACCTCGAAGCACAATATGTCATGCAACACAAGAAGGCCTACGACGACATTGTGCTTGCTCAACCAACTCTCCGCAGGATGAACGAGCTTGAGAGGACTGGCCAGCTGTACGAGTACCTATCGCGATCCATCGCACCTGAGATCTTCGGTCACGTCGATGTCAAGAAGGCTCTTCTGCTCCAGCTCATTGGCGGTGTCACAAAGGAGGTCGGCGACGGCATGCGCATCCGTGGTGACATCAACGTCTGCTTGATGGGTGACCCCGGTGTGGCTAAATCCCAATTGCTCAAGTACATTACCAAAGTAGCACCTCGTGGTGTCTACACTACTGGTCGTGGTAGCAGTGGTGTTGGTCTCACCGCCGCCGTCATGCGCGACCCAGTCACCGATGAAATGGTGCTTGAGGGAGGAGCTCTCGTCTTGGCTGATAACGGCATGTGCTGTATTGACGAGTTTGACAAGATGGACGACAGCGACCGAACGGCGATCCACGAAGTCATGGAACAGCAAACCATCTCCATCAGCAAGGCTGGTATTACAACCACTCTGAATGCCCGCACATCAATCCTTGCAGCCGCCAACCCATTGTACGGCCGCTACAACCCTCGTCTCTCGCCGATTGAGAACATCAACCTCCCTGCTGCGCTTCTCTCACGTTTCGACGTCCTGTTCCTCATCCTTGATACCCCTGCGCGAGACTCTGATGAAGAGCTGGCACGTCACGTCACCCACGTGCACATGCATAACGCTCACCCTGAAGCCCCTGGCGGCATCATCTTCAGCCCGGCCGAAGTACGCCAATGGGTTGCTCGCGCGCGATCATACCGACCAACTGTGCCAAAGGAGGTTTCGGATTACATGGTTGGTGCCTATGTGCGCATGCGCCAACAGCAAAAGCGCGACGACGGCAACAAGAAGGCCTTTACCCACACCTCACCGCGTACGCTGCTTGGTGTACTCCGTCTTGCGCAGGCTCTGGCACGTCTGCGGTTCGCCGAACAAGTCATCTCGGAAGATGTAGACGAAGCTCTCCGCCTTACCGAAGTCAGCAAGGCCAGTTTGTACGCCGATGAGAACCGTGGGATTGATCACACTCCAAGCAGTAAAATCTACCACCTCATCAAGTCCATGGAGGCGAGCGGTGCTGCTGCTGTCGGCGATGGCACCAGGGGCGAGCTCGATCTTCGCAGAGTCAGGGAGAGAGTCCTGGCTAAGGGCTTCACAGCCGATCAGTTCGAGCAGGCTATTGACGAGTACTCCATGCTTGACGTAAGTGCTATCGCCCAACGTTTGAGTTTATGCACGATGCTAACGCTTTCTGACAGGTCTGGCAAACGACCGGAGAGGGCACAAGGCTTGTGTTCATCGAGGCTGGTCTGGAAGATGAGGATATGGACGCCGATAACGACTTCTAAAGCATGGGAGGGAAGCGACGGCAGAGGATGTAGATGTATCTGGTTACGGCGTACCAAGGCGTTGGATATCCGAACGACGCTTAGCGCGCGTCTATTTTGCTTGCAGCAGCTTCGCATAGAAATTCCAATGAAGCAACGATGTACAAGTTGTTCTTCCACGGCCGCCCGCCGAATGTCGCGTGAGGTCGTGGGTGGCTGTCACATGCCAAGGCAGCCGTCTGCAGGCAAGCATCATGGGGGGTGGTGAACCCTCGCGGGGTCGCTTCCGAAAAGTGGGAAAACTCACGTTTCCCAGCCCTGTTTCACTGTGCGATCTCTCACAGCCACTCGCAGTTCCTCTGATTACTTATGTGGTGAGAATTCGCTTCGAGTCTCGTCCACGGTCTTACCTTCTTAAAGAGGTTACCTCCAACTGCGAATCTCGCGACGCGGCAGAAACCAGCCAGATAAGCTTGCGCCGGCTCTCCTCTCCTCTCACTGTGATTTCTCGATCAACCGCAAACCCCAGACGAGTTCGCGCTCCCCAGAATTCTTCGCAATGGCTCCAGGCGCAGCAAACAACTTTGCGCAATTCATGGTGGTAGGACGTAAGTGCACCCCTCCATGCTGCCTCCGCCCACATCCACAACACTTGATTGCGCCCCCATTACACCTGCTGACGAACCCGCAGCAACATGTTTTTTCCTCGGCATCATGTTTGCGCAACTCCCATACGACTACAATGTCCTATGGACCATGCCCGCCGACCGATCAGCCTACTTCGACATCCTTGAATCGCACATCAAGTTCCTCTATGCCTCGCCTCCCATCGTATCGCGCATCCTCAACCTAGCCATCGGCACCGGCCTCCTCGGCTTCCTCATCAAGCTCTTCAAGCCCAACCAAGCCAACATGCTCTTCGATGGCGCATCGCTTGTACTCTACATGGCTGGTATCACCGTCTACCTGACCAACATCGTCAAGGGGTTCAGGGTCGTGACAGCGGGTATCTACGGTGACGTGAACAAGGCGGCGCCGGGTGAGATCACGGACGAAGATATGGGAGATTACATCTCGAGAGAGGACACGTTGAGGGTTTTTGCGGCTAGTAATACAATCCTGGCGCTGGTGCTCGTGGGTGTGCTGGTACTGCAAGCCGGGCAGTGGTACGCCAAGAGGGCTGAGGAGAAGGAGATCGAGGAGTTTGAACGCAAGGCTGCGGAGGCCAAGGGCGCTGGGAAGAAGAAGCAGTAGAAAACAAACTCGCTGCTCATGAGTGGGCTTTGGGGTAGCGCTTTCGCATCTCAAGGAACTCAATTTGGGTCAAGTAGGCTCTCAGCTTTTCTTCTCTTCTGTCATGTGTAGTTATCAAGAGTTGGGATCGGTTCGTGGTATACGAAACGAGTTGTGTAGGAACAATTGGGTACATAACACTCTTCGTGAGATGCACTTGTTCATGACTTAACATCTTTCAGGTTCCTCTATGTGCTTAGTATCAACCGCTATTCCCTTGATACATACGAATCCTGCCTGTCTCCACGATCGATTCAATCCTACCATCTGAACTCACCTCAAAAAGCGTCAGCGGTGTATATTCGGTTTGGTAGCGCTTTCCTGTTTGGCACAACTTAACAACAATAACAACTCTCACCTGCCTGACCTCTCTTTCTCCCCTGCCAACCTCATCTACATCCTTCACAACGACTGGCACCTCTTGTTTCGACACACCGCGACATTTCAGCTTGATTGGGGATATGTTGACCGATGGCTAGTGCTACTCACTTCACCGATTGACAGATACGCACACGGTCGCACCTTCTCACCACTCACGGGAGGACTTACGCCGAGCAAGCAAGAGGTAGTTGCGGCCACTGAACTTCATGGATTCTTCATCTACGTTACGTCAGGGGAAAGCATTACCAATCATGTCGCGGCACCAGGCTGCTTCCGCTCGCGGACGCAAACAGACCGGGCCCAGGACCAAGATGGAACACCGAGATCGAGCTGCTGCGGCCTCAACAAACGGTCTGCTCAACCGCCAATTCGCCAGCATTACGGACGTGCTCGTCAAAGCAAGTCAGCGTCGCAACGCTGAACTACAAGAGCTACAGCAGAGGCGTTCGAGGCCAGTACCCATCCCATCAACACCAAAAGCTGCACCAGAGCTTCCTGTCACCCCCGAGCCTGAGCTATCACAGGGCAGCGATTCTTGCGACGATCGTCCCGAGCTTGAAAAACCTTACAAAAGTGACGAGAACATTGCGAGCGACGAGCCAACGGCGGCTGCTTCTGTTGAAGGATCATCAGGTAAGCATTTAGGCATCAACTGATCGCTCAACTCAGCCCGACTAACCAACAAATAGACATGCAACAGACACAGGTTCACCTGCGCGGCGGCTACTTATCGGACCGTGCCGAGAATCCCAAGATGATGCTCGCGGAGCTCGATTCGTCGCTGCAACAGCGTTCAGACATTGGTAATGAGGAGAAGCTTGATGGTGGCTATGATCTATCACGAATGCTGGCAGATATGAAGCGTGACCTATTCTCGTCAAAGGATACTGTGGTTGTACGCGACAACAGTCCGAAGGCCACGGGTGCAAGCCTCAGTTTGAACAAGGAAGACGAATTGTCAGCTTTGGCCGAGCGTCTAGGCGTCGACATTGACGAAGACGATATCATGGAGAACAAGGAAGCCATGCCTGCTGAATCAGATGAAGAGAAGCAGACCCCTAACACAGACCGTTCCGATTACGAAGACGATAACCTTGAGACTCTCCGCGCGAAGATGAACGCTATGTTCTCGCCACCCTCCAACATGACCCCCGACAGCTCTCGCAGAACCGCCCAGGCCGTATCTGTTGTCGACAAGACACTAGTCTCTCCACAAGACACAACTGCGATACTCGAGCCGAAAGGCATACAACGTCCAGATATGAATGAGTCTGAGGCCAAGAAGGAGAAGGAAGACATGGTGAGGAGGGAGAACGAGAAACTCGACGCCACCATCAAGTACGTCCTGGAAGAGGAAGAGAAGTATCACGCGATCGAGGAGAAAAAAATTCTACCAAATCGTTTGATCGTCACCAATCTCGCTGCTAGCGTAGACGAGGAAGCCATCCGCATACTCTTTATCGAGTACAGATGGGACATGTAAGTCTTACACTATACACGTCAGTGAATACATGCGCTAACTAGAGTTCGCTAGTCGCAACATCACCATCCTTCCCGAACGCGAGCCGGTCAAGAGGACTAGAACGGCATATATCGACATGGACAGCAGGAAGGAGGCGATTCGTGCGTCTTATGAGGTTGGAAGCATCTACGGATTGGTTGTGAAGATCAAGTTGGCGGTGGAGTAAAGAGAGATGAAGGCTAACATGCTTGTATGTGGACTACGAGATATCGGGCAATAGTGTATCGTATCTGTGAAAATACTTTTTGAGTAACTACTCAAGAAGGAGTACACATCCGGCGTGTATCAAGCAGTACTTTTTCCATGGAAGCGTGTAGCCTCAGACTCCCTTGTCGCTCGCTAGTGCCTTCTCCAGCTCACGATCAGCGCTCAACTCCTTCTCAGCTCCCTCAATCACACCCCTCAGTCCTTTTGCACAGGCCTCCAACTGCGCCTTCTCCACCTCGTCAAGCTGAACTGGCATGGCTTTGATGATACCCTTTCGACCAACTACTGCCGGCATAGACAAGCAGCAGCCCAGCTCAGGCTGGTAGAAGGACAAGGGCCGAACGGATCGTGAGTCGAATAATATATACTTGCAGATACCAGCCGCGATATTTCCGATACCGTAGCTTGTGCAACCCTTCGCCGCGATGATCGCGCCAGCTGCTCCACGAGTGTGAGCCGATATTTGGTCCTTGAACTCTTGGGTCATCGTGTCTGGCGGAAGAGCAAGAGAAAGCGGTGTTGTGCCAATAGTAGCGCTGGACCACGCAATCTGTATCTTATATCAGCTTGTCTATCTCTCCTGTCTCGTCACCCTCTCCTCTCCCCGCAAAGGAACCAGGGAAACTGTACTCACAAACTGACTGTCCCCATGCTCCCCCAACACATAAGCATCAATACTACTCGGCGCCACCCCCGCCCTCTCACTCAGCACGCCCCTCAACCTCGCAGAATCCAAACTTGTCCCCGTCCCCAACACCTGACTCTCGGGCAAACCCGACAACCGCCTCGCAAAATACGTCAGGATATCCACTGGATTCGCCACAAGCAGCAAGATCGTGTGCGGACTAATCGGCGCCATGGCACTGAAGATGCTCTCTAGGATGTGCAGGTTACGGGATAAGAGGGATAAGCGTGATTCTCCTGGCTTCTGCTTTGCGCCGGCGGTTATGACGACGATGTCTGCTCGGCCGGCGTCGGCGTGCGTTCCGGCGCGCACGCGGACAGAGGTGCCGCCGCGGTAGGTGGCGTCGTTTAGATCGCGGACTTGGGCTTCCAGGAGCGTGGTTTTGGGGTCTACGAGGATTACCTCTGAGCAGATGGGTTGCAGGATGAGGGTGTAGGCTAGAGTGGAACCGACGTCGCCGCAGCCGAGGATGGCGATTGTGGTTTTTAGTTTGGGGGATGCCATTGCGTTGTTATGGGTTGTTGGTTCTTGTGGTTGTGTGAGTAGGTAGTTGCACTGTCGAGGTGTTTGTGTGGTGGAAGAAGTTAGGTGATGAGAGGCGCGGAATCTGAGTGAGTTGTAGGACTAACAGTGAGAGGCTGTGGAGATTCCATCGCTTGAGGATATATATACTCTACTCATTCATGTGCCTTGGAAGTCGCATGTCGTGTTACGTTGCCAAGGCCTGGGCTGCTGAGAAGTGGTGTGATCTGGGGTGGAGCTCAGCCACTCACCACCCGCCTCATCGCGCAAACACGTGTTGACAGTATCAAACTAACAATGCTTTTACGGGTCGTTTTCGTGTCACATTTTACTGTGCCAAAAATCGGATGCATAACCCCCGACGTATATACTATCTTGTGTAATCAGAACAGTTCAGTTTCAAGGTCGGCGGTCAGGAGTTCCAAGTCCAACCTCCTTCGCAGTAGTGAAGGCAGACGTGTACATATTAAGCCCACTGTTCATGCAGCTCATCCTCCAGGGGCAGTATCGTCTTTTGCAGTTCTTTCGACACCTTGTCAGCCTCCTCCCAGACACGAAGAAGGTTCCGTCCTGCGATCTTTGCAGCGTCCTCATCGCTTATGCCCTGCCTCAGCAATTCGGCGATAAGGTCAGGGAACTTAGATACGTCCTCCAACCCCTCGGGAGTGGTCTCAATACCATCATAATCCGTGCCAATCCCAACGTGATCATACCCAATCAACTCTCCAATGTGTCTGATATGACGTACCACGTGCGCTAGGGTGTTGTTCTCCGGGACGAAATCTGGGAAGGAATTTGGCGTTTTCGAAGCCTTGCAGGATACAAAGTCTGGATTAAAGTTGACCATGACGACAGAATTGCGCTGCTTGACGAGCTGAAGTATATCGTCGGGAACGTTTCGCGGATGCGGGCAGATTGCGTATGCGGAGCTGTGGCTGAAGATTGGTGGCGCGATACTGCCGTTCCAGTTTCCGTCACCTCGACCGACGAGTACGTCGCGCATGGTGTCTTGACTCACGTGCGCTAGATCTACTAGCATTCCTAGGCGGTTCATCTCCTTGACGAGGTCGCGACCTGCGGGACTGAGACCTTTCCAGTACGGTTTCGCAATGCGCGCGCTCCAGTCGGATCCCGTCTCGATTGCTGCATCGGCATACTTGTTGTGGCAGTTCCAGGTCAGAGTCGCGTATCTGACTCCAAGCTGGTAGTAAAGTCGCAGAGTAGAGACCGAGTTGCCGATTTGGTGCAACCCTTCGATAGCTGCTGGTGCGATGAAGCCACCGTTTTCAAAGGTTTTGATGGCTTCCGCGCTGTTCCGCGATGGAGTGAAGTATTTTGGGTATTGTTGCCCTAGGCGGTTGAATAGATCTAGCTGGCCGAGAGTTGCTTTCACGACTGCATACATTAGTATCGATTCAATGCTCTGTCGAGTCAGATTGCCTTACTATTGTGATATCTTTCATCAGCAAAGTTCGTCTCGTCGCCCAATGGACAGAGCCAGAAGGCACTCCAGAAGGCACCACCTTGACGTCCCTTTTCGAGGCGGGGAGTATCGACATGCTGCGCTAGTCCGCCATTCTCGAACTTGTCTGCGAAATCGCTGCCGGATTCATTGTAAATACGGTTGTTGTATTTGCCCCGGATGAAGATCATGAGATCGTTATGGCCATCTCTTGGGTAGTCAGCATGTGGACCTGCATTTCACGTCCGTACGGCTGACCAATGAGTGGGTTCTCTTGCAGTATCTTGACCGCTCTCTCTTCAACTGTCAATGGCTTTCCACATGCGTGCTTGTGGCCTGGAAAGAACGTTCGGATCTCTGTGAGCCATATGGTCGACGCGATAAGGAAGAGGACTACGAGGAAGATAACGTCATCAAACTTGCACAGGCGCCGTCTCAAGGACCGGCGCTGGATTGGCGCAAGCTTTTGGCTGGTAGGGAGGTCGCCCGCCTTCTCCATTTTCATTTTCAAAATAGGAGATGCAGGTGAAAAGAAACATGGTGCCAGGTTGAGCTGTTATCATCCAGGTAGATCGGTCTTGGCAGGAGGGCGCGGACGGATTTTAGGAGTTTGGTCCGAAACACCACGCGACGCGAACCTCAGAAACATTACAGCCACGAACGCCTCAACTTTACATCTGCCATTTTCTCCCTCGCAGCCCATAGTCCACAAATATGGCGATAATATCAGCAAACACCATGATACGCAGTATCGCACTGTTTCACCTCACACTTGCAGTCGTCCTGCTGCGGAATCCCGCCCTGATATCGAACCAAAGCGTCATTCTCCTGCTAGGAGAGTCAATGCAGCTCGTACGTACTGCAATACTTCTGCTGCTTACTCAAGTTGTGTCTGAAGTCACTAACACACCCCAGCCAACACCCCGCGACTTCAACAAGCCCTCGGCCGCAACAGCCTTCGTAGCCATTCTCTTCGCCTTCATCGGCTTCTCCGACCTGACGGCCCTCTCCCTACACGAAGACGTTTTCGACCACTTCTGGGGTCTCCAAGCACCCATGCGTCTCCTCTTCCTCTTCGGCCTCACCTCATACTGCTATGTCTTCAAAGAAGGTGGCATGTTCGCACCAAGGGGCATGGACTTCAGAATGCACGCTGGCGCTAGTCTGAACAACAGCTTCATATTCACATGGGGCTTCATGGAGGTTTCGGCGTGGTTCTGGGTGTTTACCACGTTGAGGGAAGAGAGGACGGAGAGGGCGAAGAAGGTTGCCGAAAAGGAGGCTCGCGAGAAGGATACGCTGTGAGACAGCTTTGAGGAGTCAGGCCACGTTTCAGAGATGCTTGAATTTGGATGGCACGCAACTGGTTCGCTTGCAGAGTTCAAAGCCCTGTGCGGTGGTATAGAGTAGGGGGACTGAAACTGCCATGCCACGCCTCTGGAGCCGGTAGTGACCCAAGCCGTCGGGCGAAAACAACATCTCCCTACACACAAGACGACAGCACAGCGACGGATGCTCAGCAGAAGACAACATGCCAGTTTACAAGTCGGAAACACTACTGAGCTAGTCTGCCTACTGTCAGTGGGTGCCCGCACCGAGGACAGCATACGGACATGCGAACTTGTTGCTTCGTCGGTTGTCCTTCGATTCAATCATAGCCAATTCTGGATCATCGAATGTGTGTTCAGTCAGATATGTCGCCCAAGGAAATGCAAAGCCCACCTGAATCATCGATGCTGCCATGCCCAGCTGGTCCTGCGACGTGACTGGACCGGGAAGCCCTTCCTCCAGACCCAGATGCATGCATGACAGGGATCACAGCGTCCTGCAAGGCGAGTGCATCAGTTCAACACTACTGGAAAGCGAAGCAACCTGTGCGGAAGAACTGGATTGAGCCTATCTAATACGTGTAGCAGAGCGTCCCTCCTTCTGTATTCAACAGGTCCTTGAGCGTGGCATTCCCTGCTAACAAGCCAATGTTGATGGTAAAGTCCAATGTAACGTTCTTGCCGCTGTAATCAAAAGGCGTAATGGGCCCACCGACTTGATTGAGACGCGTCTCGAGATCTTCCTGTTGCCATTCCCAAAAGATGCGGTCAATGTTGCCATGATGGAGGTAGAAGAGTGGGTCTGCCATATGTCAGCATGTTTCCTAGTGATATGTCTATGTGGCAGATGGGTATTGTCAGAAAGAACGAGAACCAGGCACTCACCACCAGGGCTCTCCGCCGCGTTTCCCATGGTACCCAGGATGCCACCGATACCAAAATGGCCACTGGCATGAATGTTG